TGTGGAAGTCCTTAAGATTTGTGTACATGTGTGGTGCCATGCGTAGTGAAGCCCTAGCACAAGTTAGGGCATTAGGTATCCTGAACAGTAAAGGATTTGCCATAAGATGTGGAAGAGAGGAAATCACAATATAAGCTGGGATTTTCCAGTCTGCTGAGCCTTGTACTTCCAGACTTACTCATTAAGAGATTTATTATAAAAGAGCTAAAAAGATTTATTGAAGGTTTATTAAAGATTTATTAGAAGAGCGAGAAATACCCTTCAGAGACACTTATTCACTGCCTCTTCGCCTTCCCTGTGCTGACTTTAACGCACTGTTGTAAATAGCCGAGTGCACGATCAAGCAGTGTTTGAAGAAGCCCTGTCCTGGGCTCGTAAGTGTCTAGGCAGGCAATTTTAAGGCTGGGATTATGAAATGTAGCAGATTTCTGCAGAGAACAAGAAGGTTTAGACTCTGGGTGCAACATGACCTTTTATTTCCACTCCAGGTGGGCTTTGCCCTGCAAAGGGTGCGATTGAGCCTAACGTGCATGACTGGTAGTTGGACAGGATTTGGTTACTAAACCTTAGAAGGGAAGCATTATAAATCGTGCTTCTCCTGGAAAATAACTTGGATATGCTCGCTTTTGTCTTTGGGTGGGTGCCAGCATGCAGAGAGCAAGAGAGAGATTATTGCTAGTTGAGAAAAATGAATGGCTTTACGTATAAAACATGGGAACCGTCCCAAACTGTATGCATGTTTGCACTGGGAAACTACACACTCATGAATCCTACCCCGGCATCCCTGGCCCTTCTCAAAGCAATTCTTTGTGGTAACCTGTTATGCTCCTTCTTTAAATGTCAATTCTGTGTGGCAGACATTATGTATTTTTTTTTAATGCATCCAGCTAAATTCTAGATGTTAAAATAATTATATTCCTGGGGAGCTTCAGACCTGCTGAGAGTTAGAGCTAGATGTGGAAAGAAAGGAGTGAGCTTGAATGATTATTTAGTTTGGGGATGGGAGTAGGGGTCTTGGGAACAAGAATAGTCCCAGATCCCCCTCTTTTCACCCACCACTGGTCTTTTTCAAAATTCTGTGTTAAATGAGTGGAAACCTGAAAAAGTGTTGCCTACTTACATAGTATTAGTCACGAGTCACGAAAGATATGGTGAGCATGTGCCCTTGTCCCTTAATGCCATTTTAAACTGATAAGACAGCTTAAGATATTGTTAGACTGCATACAGCACAGGAGGCTGAAATCATCCCAGCAGCATGTCCCAGGGCAAGGTGTGTTCTTGGGAGTATTTTAGGGTAATGATCTTTATGCTTAAGTTTTTATGGGTTTGTGTTACAGGATATGCAGATGTGGTGTTTGTGCGCGTAAGTCTTTGAAACGTTCGAAGCATGCATGCTCTTAGACCAGGTTGTGTGCTGGTTACTCCTACAGAAACCCCTAAATACATATGCCTGAGCAGACACACACTCCAGGCACCAGATGCAGACTGAAAGACAACTAGAACAGAGTTAATAAATCTGGTGGAAAAATCTGTTTGAGGACGGTCAGCATTGACCCAGAAGAAGCTAGGAAATTGTAAAAGCCAGAAAAAGCCTACTCTTGTAATTGGAGCCCTGGGACCTAAAACCTGGGAGGTAATGTAATTCATAGCTCCCTGGAGAACTCGGAGTCAACAATAGAGCAAGCCAAGATGGGAGATTGAATAATCTATAAAACTGCCTGTGCAAAATGATTTGCTTTCTCCTTCCAAAAATGTAATAAACATATGTTAAAAATACAATTTTTCTTTTATTCTTGAAACATCAGTGACTGAAACAAATCACTTAAAAATTCTCAGTAATGGGGAGACAGTATTGTCGTGGGTCTCCTGTTTTGATTAGTTGAACTTGTTCTGTTCAAGATAACAGTGAAGCCAGGAAGCTTGGGAAATAAATGTTAAGCCAGAATCCTCTTAGTTCCTGTTTAGAGAAATGGTTGCTCTTTTAGGCTATTAAAAAGTGTCCAAAGCATACTATGCATTTACTGTCTGAAGAGATTGGCAGTTAATAACTTGTAAGCTTGAACTTAGAAGAGGCAAAGAGATAAAATTGTCCATCTGTGTTGATGGTGTTATGTCTTCTGATTTGTGTTCACAGTTCATATTTCCTGTAGTGTATGAGGACAGAAGTAGTTCACATGCATTTCTAAAGACATCAAAATATGCATGACCTGGAATGCAAAAGATGATTAAAATATCACAGTTTGCTACTTACTATAACTAATCAGTCCAGTCCACTGCATATTTCTGAATCCCTCACTGACATTTATGAATTCCTTCTAATAAGGTTTTTAATGAAAATGCTGAGATTAAGAGTAAACATTAAATACTTCAGTAATGTACATGTTTTAAAGTCAAGTCATAATCAGAAAAAGAATGATGTAGTGCATTTCTTTGAAAGACTGACAGAGCTTTTTAAAAAATATTTTCATAATGCCTGATACCTTTGTTCTGCTAGTGCTCTCAGTGGAGAGGACAAGAATTTGAAACTGTTCCTCTGTCTATCTGTCCTCTGTTACTTTGCCCACTGAAAGCCAAGAGATACTGTTGGTCTGCATTTCCTGGATGAACAATTAAGAAAAATAGTGTCCATCTGTTGTTTATGAAAAATTTGGATGGGAAAATGCTGATTTACACATGGTCAGGGAGTGGATAAAGTTTGTTTTGCAAGGGATATCAAAGAGCAGCGCACCCTTGGGTCTGCAGCTGCCCAAGGAAGCTTTACACCCAGGCTAGTACTAGCCAGCAGCCTGTTGATGTCTTGCTACTTGGCTGTTGCAATCTCTGCCATCTGGTGGACAGCAGCACAAGTCGGTAGCGGGCCTGGGCAGGTGGGTGGGTTGCTCAGATTGTGCATGAAAATGTTAGTTTTGCATGTGGGACCTCTCTGAGATACTGGCAAGGGACAGTGATTCTGTGTTTTGCCTGTCTGACAGGGGACACGGTACAGCCTCAACCTCTGGCAGAGGAGGTTTGCTGAAGAGTTGTTTGTAACCTACAGTGCCTCCAATTTTGAGGTGTCTCCATTTTTTCCAGCGCTTTGCTTCCATGCCATTCAATAAAGTGCAGTTATTTCTGTTATTTTTGATACTTCACATGCACAGTCTGGGAGTGTGCTACCAAGGAGTTTCAAACTCTTGTTATGACGCTAGAGCTTCATGCCATGACCTGAACAGCAAAAAGCGATTCTTGGTGCCTGTGCTGAGATCCTATTGAAGTTAAATGAGAAGGTACTTTGTGTTTTCAAATTACAGACTACTTTTAATTGTCATTTGTCATTAATTTCTCTTTTTTTTCCAGTTTTTTTGATCCTTTGCTATTCAGGATGGCCAAATACTAGCAACCTGAGGCTGCCTAACAGTTGGGAGGTGCCAGTGCTCTGAGACTTGATCATCTCCACTGTATTTGGACTGTTTGTGAAGGCTATGGAAAAGGCTTGGAAGCAGTGATGACATTCATTGGCATTCATTATGAAAAATTAAAATTATTCTGGGCGTACAGCGTACTTTTTATGCCTGGCTTGCACCAGGTGGCATGAAGAGATGCAATTCAATGAGCCTGTTCTGTGAAAAGGTCACAAAATCAGCGTACGCTTTCAACTGCATACTGAAGAAGCAGGAAAACCTGAAGCACTGCTAAGCTGTTGCCCACTTGCACCCTTGGTACATGGTGGTATTGGTGCTGCTCATGTTTGTTAGATATGGTTCCTGCTGGCATTTCTGTGGGTTTTGTACCTTCATGTATCTGTCCAAGGTTACAGTTTCCCCAGGACCTCAAGCAAATATTCTCTGTGTCTCTGAGCAACTAGAAATCTGATGTAGCGTAAATTTGACAATCCTTTTGCTCAAGCAGTTAACTCTGAAGCACTACCAGTTGTCTCTTCTTTTATGGGGACTGCATTTATGCTTAAAGAAAATACAATTTGGATTTATTTGTAGCTTGATTTGAAGTTTTTCAAATGCATTATGGCATCCTCTGCTTTTATATGTAGTTGAAGGTGAAAAGCTGAAGTACTATTTTCAAGAGACAATAGTAATAAATTATAAAAATGTATAGCATTTTTAGGAATCGGGAAATAACAGGGCATTATACAGCAAGAAGCAGCAGAAATGTGGGTTATCTAGTCTGTCACAACATTGTTCACATCAGACAACCATTTTGAAATCTTTTACATTAACTTCTCAGTGAGCAGTGCACATGGGTGTTCTCCCATTGCTTTTTGAAAGTGGATTGATATCACTTAAGGCAATGCTGTTGTCTACTCAGGCTGCTCAAATGAATTGTACACCAAAGTTTAGATGGAAATTCTTGCCTTTCCTCTGCTGCCAAGGGATTTCAACTAGTCATTTTAGCTTTTAAAATATTTATTCAATATTACACAACACAAAACCTCCTAAAGACTTGTGCTTCCTAGTGTAAATGTGTTTGTACATAGGCTGGTTGTACTAGGCTGGTTGTAGCCTAGCTGGTGCTGGCTGGGTGAGTGCAGTTTGGAGTCTGCATGGGCATCACTTGTTCCGCTGGAGTTTCTGTGGAACTCTGCATTTCCCACTTGAATTGGCAACTGTTGTCTGCATGAACAAACCCATCTCTCCTTTCCCAGACCATGTCATACTGGCATCCTGACAACAGAAAGCTAACAAAATGAAACATTATACAGGCTACCTCCTTTTCTGTGTGCTTTGAGAGTTAGGGATTTTACACAAACTCCAAATCTATTTCCTGATAATTCTTGCAGTAGAGAAACTTAAGGCCAGATTTATGTCAAGGAATCCTGACCCCCTGGAAGGCAGTCTGGTGGACATGGTGGGCAAGGAGCTAAGCAGGCATCAGCTGGACATTCTGGGACGAGGGAGGCCAACTGCAGCCCAGGCTGTGTTAGGGGCAGGGTGAGAGAAGGGTGCCTGGTACAGTTTGGGGTCCCCAGCATAAGGGAGACCGTGATGTGCTAAGCTGTTAGGGGGATGGCTGGAGCAGTGACAGAAGAAAAGCTGACGGAGGTGGTTCTTTTCGGCCTTGAGAAGGTGAAGGGGAGCCAGTGTTGCTGTCTGCAGCTATGTGATGGAGGAGAGTACAGAGAAGGGGAGAGAGAGGTACAGAAATGCTTTTTTTTTTTTTTTCTCCCCTAAATGAGCATTAGTGTATTGTTGACTGTTTACAGCAAGCTTTTGATACCATGGGTAGCAGAATAAAAGTCTTGCCTCACAGGGATAAGGCAAAGTAGATGCACATGCTATTTTTTGCACCAGTATAATTGCTAGAGGTTTATTTTGCTCCCTTCAAAGTAAGGCAGCCTAAATCCCACAGCATCACAGCAGCTCAGTACTTTCCTCCCTTCTTCTACTCTGACTTTCCCTTTCTGTGTAACAGAGAGAATTTCCATTTGCATTCAGGGGGACAGCCCGCTCGGCTTCAGTGCTTCCAGGCATCCTTCTGGGCATGTGCTGTGTCTGGGCTGGGGCTAGCTAGCAACAGGCATCTATATGGGAGGAATTTATATTGTCTGAGAGGCCTGAACACTGAAGTACTGTAAATGGTGTTTTCACACACTGCAGCTAATTCCCACAGTTTCCATTGCTTTAGGCTGTTGCTTCTGATGAAAAGCAAACAGAATTGTCTGGGAGCTGAGGAATGTAGTCTGAAGCACAGTCAGCACGCGGCCTCCGCTGGAGTGTACAATTGGAGTCAGAAAGGGAGCTGTGTAATGCCTGTACAAAAGAGGGGTGTCCAAGCACAATGCTCAGCACTCCTCAGTGTCAAGGCTGCAATCCTCAGAGGCTTTCGGAGCTTTAAGGACCCAGCGGGGTAATCCACTTCAGTGGCTGGGTGCTTTACCCTGTCAGCAAATTGAAGTGATTCCTTGAAGACATACTCAGAGCAAGTCTCCATACTGAACCTGTAGAGTCAGTAAAGCAGTTTTGCAGTCATGAGTGAGTAAATGGAAATATTCACTATTGGGGAGTGTTTCCCAAATTTCTTACTGAAGAATAACTCTGGTAAGGGATAGTGACTTTTTGGAAGTACACTGAGCAAGCACAGTGAGCGTATCACATGGCTTTGTATTCTGTTAGGATGACCATGTATGTAATAATGCTGTGGCTTCTCCTTCGTACTGCCGCCTGCCTTTTGCTCAGGCCCTCATGTTCCTCTCTCTACACCTGATCTTTCCTATAGTCTGTTGCTTGACTCCCCCTTGCAATTTGCGTGCTGCATTTTCTCATTAAATGAAATGGATGCAAAAAAAAGTCTGGTTTGGACACTACTTAATAATTCATCTAGTGTGTATGACACATGGTTCTAAATGCTGACATTGATGATTAGCACGTTTATCACACCCAGAAATAATTCTCCGATTCTCACACTGGACCAACTCAGCCTTTTTTGAGGCTGCGCTTGCACGGCAAAATATCTTGCTGTGTGCAGTATCTAGGAATTTTCCTTGGCTAATTCTGCCAAACCTGTGGAATTGCCCTCTTTATTTTGCATTCTGTCAAACTGACTTAGTGTGGTTTAACATAAAAGCTAATTGAATATTTTTTTCTATGAGCTGCTGGTGAACATCAACCAAGTCATTCTCACAGTATCATCACCTGTTGTGAAGAATTAACAATGGGGTTTTTTTTGAGGAAACCCTTTCATATTTTACTTAGATGCAAAAATAACTTTGTGCACTAAGAGCTTGTTGCCAGTGCTATAAGGACCTTTCCATTCTTCCCTGTGTAAAACTGAAGACAATCAAATGAAACTTTAAAAGAGCAAACTGCATTGTCAGTGCACATCTGCCTTTGGTTATTTGAGTGCCGGGAAATAAAGGTAAACCTGCCTTGTTACATAAAAGATCACAGAAGAACCAGATTTTATTGGGAAGTGAGTCATCAAGGTTCAGTTGAGTTTTCATGATCAGGGTTGGCTGGTACCTTACCATCAGTGACAACAGCTTTTTGAGACCCACAGATGCCCCAAAACCTGCAGAATCTTCCTGACAGATATTATAAATGTGCCTGCACAGTCTTGCAGAAGGCTGCTTGTAGGTGAATGCCACAGACTGGTGTAGTTCATACAGCTTGAGCTGAGATGCGTGAGTCAGCCCTGGGCCCAAGAAGAAAACCAGTTTCAGGGTAATAATGTGATGAATGTTTCTGAGCTATCTGGGAATGCCACAGCCAGCACTCTCCCTTCACTCCCTCTGGGAAATGCTGTAGCTGCGTGCATGCATGTCTGCCACAGAGGTCAGGAGAAAGAAGCGTGTGCAGTTTCAACTGCTTTTCCTCCTCTTGACTGCATTTTGGGAAAAGAAGGCAGGATATTTTGGTCATATTAACCAAATGAGATGTTACAGCTTAGTATTACCGCCAACGCATAGGCTCTGACTTTGTGAATGCAACGTGAGCTCCCAGCAGGATGGTATGGGCTTATATGACAAGGAATCCCTGGGGACAGAGTATTCAGTGCTCAATATGTTTAGGAGTATTTCCCTTGTGACCTGTAGCGCTTCTCATTTTGGTCATGGTATTCGGAAACTTCATTTGAGGTCACAGAGGTTCCTGAGCGTTGTCTGCTTGGGACAGTTGAATTGTTCCATGGTGCAGCTGCCACGGCAATGAGCAATCTCTGTGTGGGGCTGGCCTTCT